GTTCAGGTCTCTGTTTGAGTCTCTGCTTTCAGGTCTTTTGGGTATATCCCTAGGAGTAGACTTGCTGGATCATATGGTAGTTTTTTTGTTGCATTTTGTTTTGTGTTTTGAGGAACTGCCACACTGTTTTCCACAATGACTGTAGCATTTGGCATTCCCAACAGCAATGGGTAAGGGTTCCAATTTCCCCATGTCCTCGCCAATATTTGTTATTTCCTGTTTTTTTTTTTTTTTTAAATCTTAGCCATCCTTACCTGTTGCCGTCTAGTTGATTTCAACTCATAGTGACCTTATAGGACAGGGTAGAAGTGCCCCATAGGGTTACCATGGAGCGGCTGGTGGATTTGAACTGCTGACCTTTTGGTTAGCAGCCAGGCTCTTTAACCATTGTGCCACCAGGGCTCCATAGTCATCCTAGTGAGAGTGAAATGGTATCTCATTGTGGTTTTGATTTGCATCATTCTGATGGCTAATGATGATGAGCATCTTTTTCATGTGTTTGGTGGCCATTTGAATGTCCTCTTTGGTAGAAAGTGTATTCAGGTTCTTTGCTCATTTTGTGATTGAGTTATTTGTCTTTCTGTTGTTAAGCTTTCCAAGTTATATATGTATATTGGTTATTAGATTCTTGTTGGATTATGTGGTTTCCAAAGACATTCTCCCAATTGAGAGCTTATCTTTTCACTTTTTTGGTAAAGTCTTTTGATGAACAAAAGTTTTTAATTTTTATGAGGTCCCATTTACTTCTTTTGTTTTAAAGCAACTGTTATTCTTGTTGGAGCCTTGATGGCGCAGTGGTTAAGCATCTGGCTGCTAACTGAAAGGTCAACAGTTCAAATCCACCAGCCGCTGCTTGGAAACCCAGTGGGGCAGTTCTGCTCTGCCCTGTAGGGTCGTTATTTGTTCAAAAAAGAAGCTCTTAGTTTTGTTAGAGTTTAAACACTGTTCTTTTGATATGCTACATTATCATTAGTTAGATGAAAACTAATTGACATTTTGGTCTTAAGCAACATAGAACCTAATTATGATAATATACTGTGAGTTTATATAGACTTAAGGTTGGTCAATCGGTCTGCCTGGCGGCCCACCTGCCCGCCAGCCCCCTCTATCTAGTGGCTGAGTCTAGCACAAAAAAGACCCCCCTCCATTTTTGTTATTAATTTCTTTTACTCAGAAAACTTGAAATTCTGACTGATTATGTTAAGAGATTTTAGGAATAATGGTTAACATTTCTATATATCCACATAAGATGGACGATTTAATGAGACGTGAACAGGATAACGGCTGTGGGGCAATGCCTTGTAATGATAAATTAAAGCTTTGTTTTTATGTGGAAACATGTTCATGTGTCAAAATTAAGACAAGGAGTCGTCACAGAAACTTATTATAGACAAAATGAGGGGAACTTACTTTTGTGAGTTAGGGCAGTAAAGTACCTACACCCGTGTTGACATTTCTAGCGGTGATTACAGTAACTTCTCAAAATCACGTTTGACATTGTGGCCTTTAACAACGGTCTTCAGTCACTGAGTGAGCAGCTGGGGTGGAAAGGGACAGACATTATTGTCTCTAAAACCCATGTAATTCTCTTCAAGACCTGTAAATATCCTAAGTATCTAGGGCTAGTTAATGCAATCTCTTCACCATTCACATTCCTTACTCTTTAAAAATTGGTTTTGCTCTTTCCTTTTTTGCTTGATCAGTCTTGTTAGGGCTTTGTCAGTTTTGTTGCTGTTCTCAAAGACCCAGATTACAGCTTTGTTAATTTTCTCTATTGCTTTGTATTTCATTGACTTTTGCTCTTTTCTTTAATACTTTCTTCTACCTACTTTGCTGTGTTTCTAACTTCTTAAGATTGGACTCTTCCTTGGTCATTACTTTTAGACCTTTCATCTTTTCTAATATAAGCATTTAAAGCTATCAGTTTCTCTTTACACAATGCTTTGGTTGCATCCCAGAGGTTCTCATATATTGTATTTTCATTGTTCAGTTTGAAACATTTTCTAACTTCCCTTATTTCTTCTTTGATCCATGAATTATTTAGAAGTATATTATTTAATTTCCATATATTTGGAGTTTTTCTAGATGTCTGTTACTGAGTTCTAATTGATTTTTGTGGTCAGATAAAGGTATTCTTTATTTCTTCATGTGAATTGACCCTTTTATCATCAGGAAGTATTGATTTTTATTTCACTGGTACTCTTTGTTTCTGAAGTTTGGTTTATCTGAGATTAATATATTCACTCTAGCCTTCCTGTGCCCATTGTTTGCAAGATGTATCTATTTTTGACCATTTACTTTCAACCTATCTGTGTCTTTATAGTTCAAGTATATCTCATGTAGACAATATATGGTTGTGAGTTGTTCTTTAAATCATTTGAACAAGCTCTGCCTTTTAATTAAAGTATTAAGTCCATGAATGTTTAATGTACTTATTGATTGGATTGGATTAAAGTCTACCATTTTATTATTTATTTCAAATTTGCCCACTCTGTTTTTTTGTTTTTTCATTCATCTGATCCCGTGTCATTTTGGATTAATGAATGTTTTTAGGAATTTCCTTTCAATTCAGCTGTTGGCTTTTTAGATATACTTCACATTTCTTCTTTTTTTAAAAAGTAGTTGCTGTAAGTAATACATACCCTTAACATTTCAGTGTACTTAGACATTACTATTTTTGCCCATAAAATGTAGAAACTTTACAACCGCATAGGTTCATTTACCTGCCGCATATTTTGCGCCATAGAGGCTATATGCATTTACATTCTTTATAAACTCTAAAATAAAACACTGTAATTTTTACTGGGAAGCTTATGTATGTATTTAAATCAGTTAAGAGAAATAAAGATCTTCAAATATTAATCTCTGTAGTTTCCATTCCCAGTGGTCTTCATTCCTTCCTAAAGATCCGAGTTCCCGTGTGTTATCATTTCTCTTCAGCCCAAGGAACTTTTTTTAGTGTTTATCGCAATGCTGGCCTGTTGTTTATGAGTATTTTTTTACTTTTCATGTATCTTAGGAATGTCTTTCTTTTACATTCATTTTTTGAGGGATATTTTTGTTAGGTATAAAAATTGGGGTTGAGTTTTGTCTTATTTTTTTCCTTGCATCATATTAAGAATTTTGTTCTGTCTTTTTTTTTAAAATAATTTATTTGTTGTTGAAAATATACACAATAGAACATACACCAATTCAACAATTTCTATATGTACAGTTTAGTGACATTGATTACAGTCTTCAAGTTGTGCAACCATTCTCACTCTCCTTTTCCGAATTGTTCTCCCCCATTAACATAAACTCACCCCCTGCCCCGCCCCCGCCAGGCTTCCTTGTTCTGTCTTTTGATCTCTGATGTTTCCGATGAGAAGCCCCAGTATACATGTGTGATTTTCTTTGAAAACTTTCGGGGTTTCTCTTTAGTTTTCTTCATTTTGATTATGCTGTTGCTAGTTATGGTCCTCTTCATATTTATCTTACTTGGGGTTCACGGAACTTCTAGAATCTGTAAATCTGTCTGTTGCTAAACTTGGGAGATATTGGGTAGTACTGTAAAAAAAAATAGTTTTCTGCCTCCTTATCTACCTTCTTTCCTGCTGGGTTTTAAACAGACATAGTAGAGATTTTAATATTTTCCTCTGATTGGGTAATTTCTCTTGATCGCTTTTCAAGTACTCATTCTTTCCTGTTATCACTAATCTGCTGTTAATCTCATTCAGGAAATTTTAAATTTCAGTGACTGTATTTTTCATTTAGACAATTTCTGTTTCTTACTTTCTGTTTTTCTGCTGAGATTTCTTATCTTTCTGTTCATTACAAGCACAGTTACAATTACTGCTTCAATCCTCACCTGCGTTTCCAGTGTCTGGCTTCATCTCAGTGTTGGTCTCCGTTCACTCTTTTCTCTGAGAGTGGGTCACATTTTTCCTGTTTTTTTGTATATCTAGTAATTATGCATTTATCCTGGATGTGGTGAATGTCATGTTGTGGATACCCTGAAGAGTGCTGATTTTTTTGTTTACTTGTTTCTTTTAGCAGGAAATTAAGTTTTTTGTTTTGATTGCAAAAATTCTGTCTCTATAGTGGCAGCTGAAATGTCAGTTGAATTCTTCTACCTTAGCTGGTTGGAGTCTGTCCTTCATATGCATGATTTCGGGCTTAGCTAGAGATTTGTGTAGAGTTTATACATAGAATTTTTCATTTTTTTTCTGACTTTTGTCCACTATTGCCCTTTCATTTTCCTGTCGTGGTTGCTCTGCGTCTGTCTTCTGGTGTTTTAGGCCAGAAAGCCTGCAGGTTTTCTGTTGGAGTTCAGCTGTCCTGCATGGCCGACACCTGGGTCTGCACTTGGGCTAGAAACTGATGAAGTGGGAAACTTTCTCACTGCTGTTTTCTTTCGTCCAAGTGTTGACACCACTACAGAATATGCCTGCTTTTGGTTCCTCTCAGTTGTTTTTTGTAATTGTTACCGGTAGGATCATTGGTCTGGTAGGCAGTCCTGTAAGCCAGCAGGACCTGCAATGTTTACTTTTGGGCACGTGGTGTATCCTGCCTAGTCTTGTCTTCGTTTTATACAAAAGACTAGCTGGGTTAGAATAGAGTGGATGAATGGTTTTATTGGAAAAATTAGAAATAGGGTTAAATAGATACGGAAGCAGAGAATGTAGCGATAGGTAAAACCCTATCCTTGGGGATCAAATTAGATACATTTAGGTTTTATCTGAGGAGATTTGAGTAATCAAGACTTGATTTGAACTCCTAAGATTTTTACTTTTTAACCGAACCTTAATTTCCTGCAAAGTTGGCAGTATATATTTCCCTCATACATCGTTTTAACTGAGGGGACTTATTCATAAAGACACCTATTCAGATACTTGCTTCACACAGTTTAATTTATGACTAAAACTAAGGACTCCTTTCTATCAGAGATAATTATTAGATCTAATACATTCCATTATGCAAAATATACACTAAGTTTATTTAATAAATTCTGCTTATTGTAGGTCCAGGTCAAGACCCCGCCCACGTTCCCATAGTCGAAGCAGTGAAAGGTCCAGTCACAGAAGAACCCGCAGTCGATCTCGGGATAGAGAGCGACGTAAAGCCAGAGAGAAGGAGAAGAGGGAGAAGGAGAAGGGGAAGGACAAGGATGTGCACGGCACCAAGCGAGGGTAAGCTGAAGCAGATCCTATGCGGTGATGACTTCGTGACTCCATGGCAAGATTGAAACTAAAGTTTTATTCTCTGAGATTTTTCTTATTCTCAGTCCTGTGGCTAAGAATTGCTGGAAGAGTGGAAGAAGGTGGAAAAAGGAGAGAATACAGAGGAGAAAGGAGGAAAGATAAACCAGATAGTTATCTCAGATGTTCGCTGTGGCACCTTCCCGTTTCTGTTTCCGTTTAACACTAATGGAGCAAATTTTAGAAACACAAGGTAAACAGCAGTGTTAAAGCTTGGTATGTGAGTAAAGGAAAGTGTATAGTATTCTTTAGGAAAGTTCTGCATTCGGTTTCCTTTTTCATGAGTATGAATTTAAAATCTGAAGACTGTTTAGTGATTAAAGATTTCTATTAGCTTATTGTAAATCTGGAAACGCTGGTGGCATAGTGGTTAAAAGCTACAACTGCTAACCAGAAGGACGGCAGTTCGAATCCACCAGGCGCCCCTTGGAAACCGTATGGAGCAGTTCTCCTCTGTCCTGTAGGGTCAGTGTAAGTCGGAATCGACTTGATGGCAGCGGGTTTGGTTTTTGTTTTTTAATTATAAAGCTGTTAGGGGAAAAGGATAAAGGGAAAACACAGAGAGGGAACCATATTATTGGTTGTTGTATGCCATCAAGTCAATTCTGACTCACAGCAACCCTATAGAACAGAGCAGAACTGCCCTGTAGGGTTTCCTAGGCTGTAGTCTTTATAGGAGCAGATCACCAGGTCTTTTCTCCCAAGGAGCGGCTGTTAGGTTTGAACTGCAGACCTTTTGGTTAGCAGCTGAGCACTAACCGCTGTGCCACCAGGGTTCCTTGTACTATTTATTGGTTAGGCCTCTTTTCACATAGAATGGGAACTTGGTCAGTTTTAGAGTGTATGAGACCCAGAATGTATTTTTAATAAAATTGTATTACTGAGACAGTAGTTATAATTCTGTCCATTTCAAGGTTGAAACCCACTCATAACTCTTCATCAAATTAGAAGATGTTAAAATGAAACAAAATCTCGTTTACCAGCTTAAATGTTCAGCTTCTTTTACTTGAAATTTGCATTAGTATCTTTTATTCTGTGAAGCAGAGCATCTTGAAATTTATTCCCTTTGTCGGTCTTTCCACACCCTGTGCGAAGACATTTCCTCTAATATTCTATATAAAATTTATCGTGTCAGTTTTCAGCACTACATCGAAGAGCTCACGAGAATTTTGAGTATAGTTTCCTGAGATCTTGCTTCTGTAAAGAATTATTTATATTAAAGGGTTTGTAACTCTTCCCTCATCCCTTTTTTTTCACTGTTTATTTTTTACTTCTAGATTTACAGTGATGTTATATAAACCTGCCTGCATTGTTGGATTTTAAGTATTCTGTGAAATGTTAAATTTGTGGAAGAGTTGGGAAGAGGGTAACATTGTTATGTGACTTTCTCTGTCCTGTTCACCCCATGATCATTAATACACATGGAGTAATTGTGTTCCTGTGAAATTATGAGCTCTGTCCTTTTCTGTTTTAAAGGATTGTTGAATGATACAGGAGAGACATACGGGTTGGATATTTGGCTATCAGATCGGAGGTTGAGTTCCAGAGTTGGTAGAGTAGAGTGAGGGCTTGGAAGTGTACAGGGGACATCTTTTGGAAACCGAGAAAGTCAGGAGAATGATAGATTTGAAGGGAAGACTCAGAGTAGGGTTCTGAGATTGGAAAATATGGATTAAGAGGAAGAATAAGTTACGTCAATCAAGGAGCCGCTTTGCTTTTCTCCTTTTTTCTTTTGTTTTACAGTTTTTAGTTACCACCTGAGGTATCTGCAGTGAGGAGTATGCCTTGTGATTTTTACTGATCGTTAAGTTTTTACTTCCCACCTCACCAAGTTTTACATTTTTGGAAAAATACTTAGACAATTGTATAAAACTGATATCACATATAACATTATTTGGGGATGCTGACTTGATGACTGCCAACAGTAACACCAGCAACAGAGGTAAGGAAAACCAGGGAGCGATTAAAAGAGGGAAATGGGATGGTTTCAGGAAAGGTTCTTACATGGTGACATTGATCTGGAAGGGCCAGGCCAGATTTACAGGTTAGACTCATCACAGAGAGTTGATTGTGTTCTAGTGGATGGATGCCTGAATTCCAGGTTCACAAGATAATCGTCTTGTATTTGTCCTTGTTTGTTAAATCCCAGCAAAGGCAATGAACAATGTAAAAACAGTAGGTCTTAGTTGCAGGGCCCTGGATCTCGGTGCCAGAGAGCTGTGCCTAGCCTGATTCAGTCAGCTCCGTCACCTCTGTGATTTCAGTGGACCGTGTGGTATAGTAGTATCGGGGAGTAGTGTGTTGACGCGCCCTCGTCCGTTAGTGCTGGGGAGGTACAGATTCTTGCGTTTTGTTTCTCGGTATGATCGAAATCAGGATTACCTATTTATTTTTGTTTTTGCCAGCGTATACATTTAATATGGTGGTATTTATTTATATATGTGCAAATATCCCGTGCTGGGTTTCAGAAACAATTTATTACTTTGTTTTAAAGCTTACATGTTTATTTCCTCAATGTGACTTTTAAGGCATTTGAGGGTAGAGAATATGTCTTATACTCATTTGTATCACTCCGAGTATCTAATGTGCGTGTTAAAAAACCAAACCAGTTGTCATGATTTCGATTCTCTCTCATGGTGAACCATGTGTCTCAGAGTAAAGTGGTGCTCCATTGGGTTTTCAGTGGCTGTGATCTTTCAGATGTAGATCACCAGACCTTGCTTCTGAGGTGCCTCTGGGTGGCTTTGAACTGCCAACCTTTTGTTTAGTAGGGGAGCACCTAACCCTTTGTACAACCCATGTCTGTGTACTTGTTGGATGTTGATAAACATTTACTGATTATTGATTAGATACGCTCATCCATTCATTTGCTCACGTGTTCAGTCAACAGTGTTTTAATGCCTTTTGTTTGTCAGGCACTATGTTGGTAATAGAGACATAATGGTAGCGACAGTTCTGCTTACAGCTTTCCTGTGAGTGGGAATATGTAGAAGGGAGGATGTACAAGTAATTACAGTGAAACTAGATAATGTTTCAAGAGGAATGGAAAAGCAACCATGGAAATACATCAGTTAGGTGATGTTGTTATAAATAACAAAGCCTAATTACCAGTAGCTTAAATCAAGGGTCAGCAAACTCTCTTGTAAAGGGGCCCATAGTAAATCATTTAGGCTTTCCTGCTCATATAGTCCCTGCTGCAGCTGCTTAACTCTGCCTTTTAGCATGAAAGCAGCCAGAGATAGTACTATATAAGTGTGTTCCAACAGAAGTTTTTATAAAAATCATCTCTGGACTAGCTTTGGTCTGAGGGTTGTCATTTGCTAGTCCCTGGCTTCAACTGAGTCTCCTTGCTGCTCCTACAGCAGGCAGTGTGGAGGTGGGCAGACCCAGACCCATTCTTATCATCCCACCACACTGGCTTCACCTTCAGTCTTAACACATTCTGGTTGCAAGATGGCTGCTGCAGCTCCAGACATTTCATCCTTATACAGTAGCGTCCTCAAGCAGGAAGGAGGAGGACAGAGTCAGAAGGCTGTTTGCCTTAGGTATTTCTCCCTTTCTTCCTGGAGTGGCCTCACGTGCAAATCCGTGAATTTCTTCTTCCTTTTTCTGGATGGACCGTGTTGTTGATTCATTAGCATTGAACAGCCTGAATGGCCAACGGCACTGTGACTCATGCTTTAACAGGCATATTTTCTGCGTAAGGCACATCCCAGGCTTCTGCGCTTAGGAAATTAGGTATCACTTCGGCACTACGCTTGGGAGCCATCTTAAACAGCAGAATCACCAACAAAAAACACAAAAATATGAAAAAACATAGCACTGAATGGCCATGGAAAGGATATTGTTTGCAGCTTCAGAGCTGAAATGAGAGGGTGGAGCATGGCCTGGTTTGACCTCAGCTGGGGATGAGCCATCGGGTGACTCAGTTCAGAAGTGCTGTATTGATCTTTGCGCTACAAATAAGCTTTAGTAAACAGGAGAATTAGTAAATCAGATTTCACAAATAGTGAGGATCGATTGTATTTACAGTGACCTACAAGGCCCTAGAAGGAGCCCTGATGGTGCAGTGGTTAAAGTGCTCGGCTGTACACCGAAAGATTGGCTGTTCAAACCCACCAGCTGCTGCCTGGGTGAAAAGACTCGCGGTCTGCTCCCAAAAACATTACAGCCTGGAAAACCCTATGGGGCCGTTCTGCTCTGTCCTACAGGGTTGCTGTAAGTCGGAATCAGCTCGACGGCATGCGACAACATAAGGTCCTAGATGAGTTGGCTTTGTTACTTCTCTGATCTCAGCTCCTCCTATTCTCTCCACTCACTCAGCTCCAGCCATGTGGTCTTACTGATTCTCTTACATGCCAGGCACAATCCGCATTAGGGCCTTTGCACTGCCTTTTCCCCCTTCCCCAGGTCAGTGTGGCTGATTCCTTTGTCGGCTTTAATTCTTTGTTCACCTTCAGCTTCTCAGAAACTGTCCTGACCACCATGTTTGATACTACTACCTGCCCACCCTCCCTTTTTAATAATATTTAACCACTGTTTAACCTACATTATTTTTTTACTTATTATTTTTTTATCATTTACTGAATATCACACTGGGCCTAAAATCTACACTCCATGATGGTAGAGATGTTTGTCTTTTTGTTCAAAGATATGTCAAGCATGAATACAAGATGTGGGCACCTGATAGGCATGCAGTTATTTGTTGAATGAGTTGGCGTCCTTCAATCATAGTTTATTCTTGGGACTTGGGAATATTCCCACCTGAACAGCAGCTTAGAAATTCTGGTGAGTAAGCAGCCAACAGGGTCCTCCATGAACGTTAAGCTGGTTGGTCTAGACTAGTCACCATGTCAGAGAAGGATTCTCCAACGAAGTGATGTTTGCACATTGAAAGACTTGGAGGTCAGCAAGGGGGTGTGGTGTGTTTG